TTCTACCCATATATAAAAGTTATGATTCTTTTGTACTCCATTGGAGTACTGGATATGAAGAGATAGAATAATTAACCTCCTAACACCAGATTACGAACCCCCATGCCTGAATTTTAAGAGCAGAACTGTCAGTTACATCTGAGTGGCAAGTAATATAGTTAAGTGTTTGCCAGATAGAATAATACTGAAACAGAAAATAAGGGGGAGAAGGTTCCATAGCCAAAAACAAAACAAACAAAAACAACCCAGCAAGAAGTGAGAATTGGTAGTGGTGCTGCCTGAAAAGCATCTTACCCTATTTTAGTAGCTATACTTCTAGACCACAATAAATCACTAAGACAATGAGCAAAAACAAATACTCTCATCTACTTTTCACATTAAGAAATTAACTCTTGCCGAAACCGGTTTGGCTCACTGGATAGAGCGTTGGCCTGTGGACTGAAAGGTCCTGGGTTCGATTCCGCTCAAGAGCATATACCTTGGTTGTGGGCACATCCCCAGCAGGGGGTGTGCAAGAGGCAGCTGATCAATGTTCTCTCTATCCCTCTCCTCTCTCTTCTTCTCTGTAAAAAATCAATAAAAACATATTTTTTTAAAAAGCAAGCCTCAATTTAAAAAAATTAACTCTTGAACATAAATTGTACTTATATGCAACTTAACATTTCAATATTTGCTATATTAGATAAGAAAGAAGCCCAAACAAAGACAGGTCTGTTGATATTTTGTTTCCACACTGGCAACTTTCATCTTAGTTTTAAATTTTGTTATGGTTTCTTATGAGGACTAAATGTCTAGTTAACTGGTTGGAGAGAACCTGACAGCACCATGAACAGATCAAAACTCAACTGAATCACAGATTCTAAAAAGAAAACTGACAAGGTGAAACAAGAGTTGTAGTGACTTCCGGCTACCCAAAAACATTTAAAAGCAAAACCTCAAGTAATAAGCTTCTAAAGTGTTATAACTGAAGAACCTAACCAAAAGAAACCAAAACCTTCAGCATAAAGCCATGATCCACTTAATTGTCACTTAAAAAGTCCTATCTTAATATTGTTGACCTAATATATCTCAGCCATAGTAAAATGATTTTAAGACATGGACTTAAAAATTCAATTAGAAGACCTTCTTAATAACACAAATCTATAGTAACTAAAGATACCTAAAAAGATTAAAATGACCTTAATATATGCCACATAAAACTATTGTTAACCTTAAATCATAAATTTTCTAAGTCAAAACCCATCAAAGAAATACTGAGAGAGAAAAGTATAATACTAAAGATTAGACCTTTATAATCTTGCTTTCTAAGTTCGAGTGTAATAGTAACCACCACTGGCCCACACACACCACCAAGTAGATTTTGTCACATCTGTGTTTTAACATTCACTTACTATTATACTGAGATGTTTCAAATAAATGAACAGATCGTCTCCAAAGGGATGAGGGCAGCAATTCTAAAAATCTGGGGGCCCAGAGAACCTTTTAAGGAGGTCCATGAAATCAAACTATTTTCTTAACACTAGTTTTTTATTGAATTTTTTAGAGAGAGGGAAAGAAACATTAATGTGAGAAACATCCATCTCCCTTCATGCACCAGGGATCAAACTCAAAACCTGGGTATGTGCCCTGAGACAAGGAACTGAACCTGCCACCTTCCAGTGTACAGGACAATGATCATACCAAGACATACTGGCCTTGGCAAATTTATTTACTTTCTTATTTACTTATTTATACTGACACTTGCACTGATTGTGCAAAAGAAATGATAGGTAAAACTGCAGACACCTAAGCACAAATAAGAATGGTAGCACCAAACAAATTAGTCATTATTATACTTTCACTACTACAATATATCACAAAGAAAAAAGGGGGAAACAAGTCAGTTTCAGTTAACAATGTCCTCATTAAGCACTAAAAGTTAATTTCCTTACGACTCTACCCTTGAGTATACATCTTTTTAATAGCAAATATGGTGAAAGGAGAGTACTGATTCTAGAACATGAAGTGTGATGGTCTTTTCATGCTACTATTCAAGATATGCAGAACCAGCCACTTTTTACAGAACACAAGTTTTACTTGAATGACATGTTCTAAAATGAATAAGCCTGTCACTTAAGGGGGGGAAAAATGACAATATTTGTTGCCAATACTAAAATTTCACCTTGCAAATGAAAATTAGCTGTTGAAAAATCTGTATTCATCACCATGAGCTTGGCAGTGTCCCAACATTTTTTTTCTGATGAGATCAGTTATATCAACAAAAAATTTTAAACACTGCATATGTCGATATTCTAAAGAATTGGGGTGAGAACCAAGATGGTGGCGTAGGTAAATGCCTCTACTCTCCACCTCCCACAACCACATCAAAATTACAACTAAAATACAATCATGATTAAGAACTGCCTGAAAGCAAGCTGAATGGAAGTTCTACAACTAGAGAAGAAAGCATGAGACTGGTACAAGGGGTGGAGATATGGAATGGGTTGGTCTGACATCCAAGTGTTTTTTGTTTTTTGAATATATTTTATTTTTTACAGAGAGGAAGGGAGATAGAGAACTAGAAACGTCAAGAGAAAAACATCAACCAGCTGCCTCTTGTACCCCCCCGCCCCTTACCGGGGATGTGCGCACAACCAATGTACATGCCCTTGACCAGAATCGAACCTGGGACCCTTCAGTCTGCAGACCGACACTCTACCACTGAGCCAAACCGGCTTTGGCCCAAGTGTTTGTTTTTTTTAATTGGGAGGGATCTCTCGGCTATGGAGCTCTCCTCCACCAACTCTGGTGAGGAGCAAGGGGTCCCAGAGTTGGGAAGAGAAGTCCCTCTAAAAACCAATGGAGAGTGTGGCTGAGTGATACAGAGGCTGCTTGAGACCCAAGTGTTCCTCTTAAAGGGCCAGCACACAAACTTACTCAAACTCAATCCCTCAGAACTTGTGTCTGGCAGCTTTGGGGGATCCGGGGATAGATGAGGAGGTACTGGATTGTCTAGCATTGGATCAGGAACTCAGGAGTGGCTGTTTCTCAGATAGGGGTCCTCGTTCCAATGGTGGGACTTCCCCTTTGCAGAGCTGACAGCCATATCTGAATCTCCATCAGCCTGGAGCACAGTTTGGTCCACGTTGGTGATTCCCTGAGCCCTTGCCCCAAGCAATTTACAGCCCCACCCAAGCTGTTTGCAGCAGCTTTTTTTTGTTTTTTTAATATGAATAGCCTGTGCTAGCTTGGGCTTAAGAATCAAATCAATGATTTGTAATATGAGGAAGCAAAAAAATACCCTATCAGAACAAAAAAAAAAAATCCAAAAAATATGAAGAGTCCAGCTTGCTTAGCTCAGTGGTTGATTGGCGACCCTTGAACCAAGAGGTTACCAGTTTGTTACCAGGGGTTTAATTCCCAGTCAGGGCACATGTTAAGAGTTGTGGGATCCATCCCCAGCAAAAGGCAGCCAATTCATGTGTTTCCATCTCATCCATGTTTCTATGTCTCTATTTCTCTTCCTTCCTCTCTAAAAATATATATTTAAAAAATGAAGATGGTGTAAAGGAGCGTCTTGGACAACTTCAAACGTACCAATATTTGCATTATGAAACTGCAAGAAGAGCAAGATATTGAAAACCTATTTGAAGAAATAATGGCAGAAAACTCCCCCTACGCAGTGAAAGGAATAGATTTACAAGTAGAGGAAGCACGGAGAGTCCCAAACAAGAGGAACTTAAAGAGGCCCACAAAGAGACATCATAATTAAAATGCCAAAGGCTAAAGACAAAGAGAGAATCTTAAAAGCAGCAAGGGAGCACCCATACAACTGTCAGCTGATTTTCCAATAAAAACTTTGCAGGTCAGAAGGGAATGGCAAGAAATATTCAGTAATGGATAGCAAGTACCTACAACCAAGATTACTCTACCCAGAAAAGCTCTCATTTAGAATTGAAGGTCAAAGAGCTTCACAAGACAAAAAGCTAAAGAAGCTAATCACTACCAAACTAGTATTACATGTTGAAGGATATTCTTGAATAAGAGAAACGAGAGGGTGAGGAGGAGGAAGATAAAATATATGAACTTTAAAACAGCAATAAATGCCGAAACCGGTTTGGCTCAGTGGATAGAGTGTCGGTTGGTCTGTGGACTGAAAGGTCCCAGGTTCGATTCCAGTCAAGGGCATGTACATTGGTTGCAGGCACATCCCCAGCAGGGGGTGTGTAGGAGGCAGCTGGTTGATGTTTCTCTCTCATCGATGCTTCTAGCTCTCTTTCCCTCTTCCTTCCTCTCTGTGGAAAATCAATAAAACATTTAAAAAAAAAAACCAGCAATAAATATTAACAATTTATAAATCAAATGAGAAATCTAATGAACAAAATAAACTGGAGAATAAAATAGAAGAAGAAGCATGGAAACATGGAACAGTCTGATGAATCTCAGAGGCAAGGGCGGAGAGAGGACAGGAAGAGATTAGCCAAAGATTTACATGCATATATATGCATTACCTATGTTTGGGTAGGAAATGATGCAGAAAAGCAATGGGGGGTGGGAGGGAAGGAAGGAAAGCTGTAATACCCCCAACAATAAAGGCATGATTTGGCAAACCAGTATTTTATAAATGACCAATGTATGTTATTAAATCATGCAAAAGTAGATCAAACTGCAAGATAGGTCAAACAAATTTTAATTTAACAGACTAGCACAAAGTTGAATAGTTTCAGATTTCACCCTGCAACTAACTTTCAAGAAACTACCAGTTCTGAAGTTTTGGTAATGTAACAAAGAGTATCCACAATTATCTAAAACTACTGAAATATTCTTCCAAATACATATGTGTGTGAAGTCAGATCTCTGCATACACTTAAAAGCGCCATATTACAACTGATTGAATGCAAAAGCAGATATGAGAACCCATCCAATTTATAAAACAAAAGCATTTTTTTGTTTTGGAAAACATGTTGTTGTTGTTTTTTTTAAATAAAATAATGCTCTTAATGTTAATAGGTAATTTTAAAAAATATAATAAATATCAATAGATATAACCTACTAAAGCAAAAATTCTTTGGAGCCTCAACCTTTAAGAATATAAATGTTTGAGAACAGTGGGACTAGGAAATTCATATTAATAAACTGGAGTTTTTCTTTTGCTATTTCAATGCCACTAAACTCCCCAGAGAAAGGGTAAAGTGGTATTAAAAATGTATGGAAGTGGAAAAGGGTTTAATTAGTATTGTCTTATATAGTTTAGTTAATTCTTCCCTGGAATTAAAATTTAACTACACAGTTCTATATGAAACATTTCACAATATTCTAACTATATAAAATGTTTAAAATAACATTCAAAACTGGACTTTTACTTTTAAAAATCATACCAAGTAGTAATATGTCACACTGTTTTTATCAATTCTTTATTTAGGTAACAAGTTGGTTATGTTCACTGCATTGTATGAAACATCACAATATCATACTGGAAAGGTACTGTCAGTACAGGATTGGATCAGAGTGGACAGTTGAACAATAAACCATTTTTGCATTCTTCATTCTTTTAACAACCCCTAAACCCAGTAAAGGGACAAATAGCTTTTAACATCATCATGTAAAGCACTTTAACTTACAAGGCTAAAATCTAAAGAATAAATAAAATATATTGTGGCAATAATTCTTTTAGGCCAAAAATCAGGTGCACAATAAATTGAATGATCAAGGAAGCTGTCTGTATTCGAATGTGTGGCTCCCCAGAAACAGCTTCGGGAAAATGTTACAGAAAATACCATGAATTCCACTGCACACAGGACCAGATGATGACTCATCTTAACTATACACAAAGGCAATTACATCCCGCTGAAACACAATTTAAACATACAGGGAAGTGTTTACAAAGCATCCACAACATGTGAACCATGTACAAATGGATACATTCATTGCTTCTCCTATCCCAATAGCTTTTAGATAAATATTTTACTCTTCATGTTCAGCATTAATTGGATACATGCAAAACTCAAAAAGAATTCAAGATTATTGTAAAAATAGAAGTAAATGAATAATCTTCAAGTACCTTATGTGACAGCCACTCTGTACCGTGCCCAATGTTATAAAATGAAAGGTTACTGAACCCATGAAAATATCTCTGTAATATTTCCTTAGTTCTAAAATAGATAATTTTAAATGTATTTATAGTCATTTCAATGTGATATTCTGAGCTTTTAAAATAACGTAAACAATTAAAATTTATACCAAATTACACAAAACTTGTATCTTAAAAGCTGAAAAATTAAAACTATAGAAACCCACATGTAAAACAAAAATCACAATTTACATTATAAAGGCAAATCTCATCATTTAAAAAATTTGCAGCAGTGAGATGTCTAAGCAAATTATAAATAGCCATAAATTAATCCATTTGGTTTCAAAGATTTTCTATTGTGTGTTGAAGGATATAGGAGATACATGCATAAAATTTGTAAGGGTTTATAATATTATTGCCAAATACACTTATCTTGAAGCAGGCAACATTACAATTTGGACATTATTGAGGAACCCAGTTTGGTAATACAGGTAAAATTGGAAAAAATTTAAATAACAATAAATATATACCCTATAGTAGATTGCTCAAATGAAATTTTAAGCCAGAGCTGCAAAAGGCTTTCAACTTGGTGAACTGAAAAAAAGAACATCTCATACAATTCTTTACTCTTACATGCTTATATGTTGTGTGTCTTGTTTAAAAAAACAAAAAACCCATAATGTATCTTCAAAGTACAGCTAACTATATTCCCATGCACCTCAGGCACAATTATTATTTGTGGTGAAATAACTCCGTTGGTTTCTAGGGCCAATAGTTCAATACAGATGGAATCGGTATGCCTGAGGTTGGCAAAAATACTGGAGTACAGGCAATGCTACAAGTGGCAATTATCAGAAAACACAAATATGAACAAATGATGGGAAATGCTAATGATTTTCTGCTCATATCACAAAACGTTGGGAATCCACAAGAATATTTTTCCCTTGTATTGAAGAAAATGTGATTAAAAGTTTTTCCCCCAATTTTCAGAATCAAAAGCATTTTAGAAGTTTATAAGGCTACCATGGGTCTTCTAGATCTCCAGCACCCTACAGGAAAAGAAAAGGAAGAATATTATTATTATTTACCTATACCACTTTCAGGTTGGATTGAATTTAAAAAGAAAACAAATCAGATGAACAAATTACCTTCCTTTGTTTGAAAAGATACTTTTAGAGAGATGTGTGTATTGTACATTGTGTGTATACACAAAGATCTATCCAGTATTGATAGGTAACTGGTTGTTTTTTTCTTCCCCTTTCCACCAAATAACTTCCTTTTAAACCACTTAAAAGTATTCCAGCATTGAAAAAATAGATCAAAACATCAGCTACCTCCAATGATTCCAAAGTTTCAACTTCCGATACACCTTACCCAACTTTAGACACATGATAAGTATAAACATGAAGAAAAGTTAATTATCTACATTCACAAAATAATTGTTTTAAGAAATAGTTTCCCACATGACTAATAGTTATCTGTATTTAAACATCAATTTTAACAAAAACAAAACTCATATATTTGCCACTATTTAAAATACCCCATAATTCTTGCAACTAATAATATCTGATGAAGACTTATAGCAAAGTCGACAGTCTTGCAATCTTCATCATGGCAATTTTCTGACATGTCTATGTGTGTTCATTCTGCCCAAAGTTTAATATTGTGTACCATAAAAAGGGGATAAGATACAGACTAGCTTTTCTTTAAGCAAGACTTCTCAAAATTTTTCCCCTTTTAATGAAAAAAGCCAAGCCAATAGTTTTCTAAATTTTATATAAATACAAATGAATTTCTAATGGGTATTTTTCCAATGTACCAAACCTGTTTAAAATAAAATAAAAAAGTACAACATTCAAAGATTATTCCATATCACATGCTTTATTTGAACTTAAAACACTTATAATTTCATTCTGAACACTTGATTGACATACATTTTGATGTATGTGTGTAGTTAGGCTATACAGAATATACAAATCAATGCTATACTTAAAATACACATTTTTCAAACATTATTTTTCATAAAGAATACAGAGAAAGGAAAAATAACCACATATCCAATAGCTAAGAAATCTAAAAATAAAACTACAGAAATGTAAAATATAAACAAGTCAAAAAACACACATCATCATCCTTGAAAAAAATTACAGGCCAGCATCTGCCATTCTTTGAAGAACTAAAATTACTAAAGAAAACACAAATTTATTACAAGTTTATTATTATGAGTATACTAATATGTAAAATACTGTGAGACAGTAAAATTCTACATTAACAAGTTTTTTCACAACATAATGTAATCTTGCTAATCAGTAACTTTTAAACCTATCTAGTATGAACTTAATTATTGATTTTAATAACTGGTAGCCTCATTTCTGGCATACAATATGAAATAACAATTTTATTAAATTCTAAGTATATAAACAGCCGATTTTAACCTATCTGATAAAGGTGTATGCAAAGGCCTTCTGAAAAAACAAGGCTATATGAATATTAATAAAACTATCGATAGTTACCAAGATAAGATTCAAATAACAAAATCGTTATATAAATGCACGCATTATACTTCCTAAGTAGAAACCATCAAATCAAAGATCACAAAAATATCCCCACAAATTAAAGTCATACTTTTTCATCACCCATGTTTGTCCCTGCATCTTCATTACAGCTGTCTAAGTCAGCAAGATCACTTTCTGATTCAGTATGGCTTTCCTGCATTGTCACTGGGTTTCCAGCATCAATGTTCGAGGAAGGAGCTGCAGCAGCTGGTTCAGCAGGGCTTTCTTCTCCCTCTACTTTAGCTAGCCTGTAACTAGACAGCATCTCCTCCAGAAGTTGTCGGTAGTTTCCCCTATGATTAATTCTCATTTGCCTGAGAGCTTCCACCAATTTTCCCTGTGATCCACTCTCCTCTGCATCATCGGAGGCCTTTTTTTAAGATTTAAGACCCCAGTGTCAGTAGACAAACTAGGATATCACATGTATTTCATAACACATCACAGCAAAACACTCATTTTTCTGCCATGAGTAATATAGTGTAAGCACGAGAACATTTCGTTAAATAAGAATCAAGTCTTACTGTGTCAATTAATAAAAATTTACAATAGAAAATATCTCAAGTTATTTTTAGCAAATTACCATTAACTAGTTTAGGTCTCATTTCACATTATAATTTTAAGTTTAACCTGAAGTTTACTTTGCACTATTAGAATTCAACAGCAACACAAGCATTTCCTGAAAGTGACTTACTTAAAAACATAATTGGCTATAATGACTTAGTGTAAAAGGGAAATTAGTGTGTAAAGCAATAGGAAAGGACAGAAAAGCAGGTATTAGAATATTAGTTTCTCCATGATTTCTGCTAAATGACAGATAGGAAAGGAGATAAAAAATGTTAAACTATATAAAAGGAAATAGAATTTTGGGGAAATATTAAAATTTTCATGGATAAACATTTTAGTTGTATTTTTATCTTTAAAGGGTTTAATAAATAGACGAATCATTTTAAACATTAAAATAAGGTATGGATAGCAAATTCCTTATCCTTTTATATTTTATTAAATTTGGGGAAATCTACAGCTTTTTACAATAGCAGCTACTTAATCTTATTAGTGAAACAAGCTCTAACATCCAAGCTAATTAAAGTTAACCTGAAATAGTAAATACCAGACAATCTTACATTATAATATGCTCCCTGATTTGATGAATTAAGGAATACAGGGCCATGTCCTGTGTTCTTGCCAAAAATATTTAAAATAAATCTAATAAAAATAATTATTATTTTACAGGAAATAAAGAATAGAGGATCAAGTTAAAGGACAGCACAAGGAAACCATTATTCTGAATGTAGGACATTAAAAAGCTGGCTCAGATTCTTATTTAGTGTGGGGGGGCGGGGGGAGAGAAAGAGTGTGATCTTGATTAAAAACCTGCCTAATATGCTTGAATGTTAACTTAATAACCTGATTAGACCATGGTTCAATATAACAATTATGATAGTCATTCTAGGGACAACTGGGACTTGTTATTAAATGACATTAAGTTTATTACTAATTTTCTTAGGTATAAGATAACGCTTTTGTAGAAAAATATCTTTTTCTTTTTCTTTTTTTTAAGATTTCAAAAATTGATTTTAGAGAAAGAAGAAGGGAGTGGGAGAGAAATGGAAACATCAATGATAAGAAAGAATCATTCATCGGCTGCATCCTGCATGCCCCTATTAGTGATCAAGCCCAAAACTTAGGTGTGTGCCCTGTCTGGGAATCAAACCAGCAACCTTTTAAAGCATAGGACAATGCCCAATGAACTAAATCACAGTGGCCAGGGCAAAATATTCGAATTCTTAAGAGGTACATACCAAAATAGAGGTAACATATTATGATGTCTTCAATTTGCTGTCAAAGGATTAGTAAACACACACACACAACCACAACAATAACACAACAACAAAACAACTAGTAGCCCTGGCCAGGTGGTCAGTTGGTTGGAGCATTCTCTCACACACCAAAAGGTTGTGGGGTCAGTTCCTGGTCAGGGCACATACTTAGGTTATAGGTTCAATCCCCAGTTAGGTGTATCCAGGACCCAATGATGTTTTTCTCTCACATCAATGTTTGTTTGTTTCTCTCTCTCTCTCTCTCTCGCTCTCTCTCAAATCAATAATCATATCCCCAGTGAGGATTAAAAAAAAAACAGTAGTGTACACACACAGAAAGAGATAAAGCAGATACGGTAAAATGTTAACTATTATTGAATCTAAGTAGAAAGTATTCATTATGCTTATTTCAACTTTTCTATAGGTTTGAAAGTTTTCATCATAAAACTTTGGAAAAATAAAATACAAAAATGGTTAATATGGATGATCTGGCACAAATTCTTAAACATCTTTGGAGACTAATACTCTAATTCCATGACAAAGATATATTAATAGAAGAACACAATAAAAGACAATATTTACAAGAAAAATGAGAGTGCCTGAACACGTTTTATAAAAAGTGCCACGTGGCAAAAAGCAAGAGATAACTGTGTATAGCTTATGTTTTGTGTGTGTGTATATGATTGTGTTTGTTATTTTAGGATATCATATACAAACTGCCTAGGTGGAAAAGAAATACAATATACAGGGATTGGCAAAAGTAGATTTGCAGTTGTTCAAGTGGAAAAAGACATGCAGGTTATGAGGTTATGATTATTACAATAGCTTTAAGTCAAAAGAATGTCACAATGGCACAGTGCACTTCTCTCGTAAATGCTCAGATTGTTGGCCTTCACTATTTACACATTCTTATAGTCTTTGAAAATCGTCCTGAGGGGTTGCAAACCTACTTTTGCCAACCCCTATATAAATAATGATAATGGGTAATGAAGTTACAGATGCTTGTTTTCTTTGAATTCTCCAATTTTTTATATCAGGCATATTAACTATCAAGATAATTTTATTTGCAAAATTTATTGTGCGGTGAGAACATAAAATGTGCTCTTTGTTACCATTTTTCGTATTTACCTTTCCTTCTGTGCTAAATAAACATGTTCCCCTAAATAAAGTTTCCCTTTTGAATCTATTCAGGAAAAGTTAAGATGGAGCCATGCATGGTAAGTGCTTACTCAACATAAACTTTATCAGTCTTTAGTAAGGTCTGCCAAAAGGCAATTTTCTACTTAGTGGTAAATTACAAAGAAGTTTTAATGAAGGACAATTCCCCACCCCCATCTCCTGAAAACCTCAAATAAAAACTCCCAATTAAAAAAAAAAAAAAAATCTCCTAGGACATTAAAACAAAATTTTCTTGAATTGGGCAAGTTGACTTTCACATAGCGAAAGTGATTATCAATGCTGGTTTTCACATAAGAATCACCTCTGAAGCTTTTAAAATTGTACAGATACCAAAGTTCTACTCCATTATATTCAGATTCAATGGGTTGGGGAGATATATAATTCTGTTAATTGCTTTAGTAGTATGGGGTGGGGGGAGAAGGATTTGCTTTTTAAAAACCAAACTAAAATCAAACCTATAAATTAAGTAGAGACGGATTTATAATGGTTGGTATCATA